ACAGGAAAGCCTTGCCTCTTGAAGTTCCTTACAGTTGAGATAGCTTCCATAACTAAGATAATTCACAAATTATATATTGTGCTAGATATCTTCTTGGGGAAAAAGACAATTCCCCCTACTACAGAACATGGTAAATTCCAGCTCACAACAATAAACCCAAATCCTTTGGTGAAAATTTCCATTTCTATTGTGAACGATCTATTCATCCCTAGGGTAGGTAGGGTTTGTGGAGCTTATTATTTTAAGGAAAGGCATATTTAGGCAAGCACATATAAATTCTAACTCTTTGAACTAAGATCCACAGAGATGTTATAATGACATTTTCAGAGCTACATGTTCCCTGGGAGAGACGCAGCACTATCCTTTAAATACAACATCTAAAACAAAAGTGCACCACATAGAATTCTCTTGCCTAGCTTCTCCTGAGCACCAAAGTGGGATGAAGTCCTCTGCTAGAAGAAAGGACATGGTATTGACTTAATTTAGATAAGCAGTACACTGCCAGTGCTCCTAAGAACTAGGCTTTGAGACTGAACTAAAGAGTCTTTTTTGAATTTTCTTAGGAAATGAAAGCAATGAAGTTTGTGGGACTCTCTTGTCCAAATTAAAAGTGCAATGCTGGAATCTTGTTAGAGAAAGCTTCTAACTTAAAAAACAAAAACACTCACTTGACTGGAGCTAGTAGCCAAAAAGGAGGCCTATTTTAATAGGTAGGCAAAATAATGATATCTCCTGCAAAGGCTCAGCATCCTACAAGGAACAGAATGATGTTCAAAGGTCATGCTGTATGACCTTGTAGGGTTAGAATAAAGCTAACATTATAAGGTAGCATTTACTGTTGGGATTTATCCAATATATCCCTTTCCTGAACATGCAACTACAGACTTAGCTTTATCGCTTAGAGACACAACCAAAACAGTCACCCTGAGAAGACTGGAGGCCTAAATACTCATTCCCCCAAATGGAGAACTGGCCTTGCAATAGTAGGTCTCTTCTAGGAGACAGAAACATCTGAAGATTCAGTGGTAGGTTACTCAGAAAGGCATGAATAGTATCACTGCTACTGCCTTGTTTCTATCTTTTGCTATCCAGGGCATCAGTGGAAAAAGTGGGAAGACATATCAGGAAATTTGTCCAGCACTTAGAGACATCATTTACCACCTCAGATCCGGGGCCTTGACAGA